TGAGAAAACTTTTGTTTTTCTGTCCTTCCTAGAGTGTAGGTAACCATGTCATATTTTGCTCTAGGGCAGGGGTGAGCAAACTTTTTGACTCGAGGGCCACAATGGGTTCTTAAACTGGACCGGAGGGCCGGAACAAAAGCATGGATGGAGTGTTTGTGTGAACTAATATAAATTCAAAGTAAACACCATTACATAAAAGGGTACGGTCTTTTTTTTTTTAGTTTTATTCATTTCAAAAGGGCCGGATCCTTGCCCACGGCTGCTCTAGAGTGATGCTTTCTTAATGCAAATAACTCACCTGCATTGGCTTTAAGGTCTTCAGGTGTGACCATGACAACAAATCGGATTGCACGTTCATTTCGAAACATCTCGTAGGACCACCGACGGATAGACCGCATGCATTTCACTGCTGCAATGCCATTGTTGGCAATAAGAACCTGGGAGAGTTAGGGGATGGGAATTGGAGAGAAAAATAGAAAAAGCAAGCAATGATGGAGAGAAAGAGGTGAGACAATTTTTGTAAATCTATCTTATTTTGAAAAGGCAGATTTTCTATAGGAATTTGTATTCCTGGTCTAGGTAGTTAAGAACTAGCTCCCACATGACCAAGGGATATTTTAAAATGTTAGCTAAGGAACCACTGTGTTGAGGCCTACCCTGACTACTCTATTTAATAATGCAACCTCCCCAGCACGCCTTCGGACACTTCCTGTGATTACTAGTTTTTTACATTACCTTCTTATTTCCAGAACATTTATCACCTTTCAATACACTAAGCAATGTGATTATGTACTATATATATTGTTTAGTGTCTGTCTTTTCCCACTAGTATGTTAGTTCTAGGAAAACAGGGATTTAAAAAAAAATCTATTTTGTGCCCTAACCAGTTTGGCTCAGTGGATAGAGCGTTGGCCTGCGGACTGAGGGGCCCCAGGTTTGATTCTGGTCAAGGGCATGTACCTTGGTTGCAGGCACATCCCCAGTAGGGGGTGTGCAGGAGGCAGCCGATCGATGTTTCTCTCTCATCGATGTTTCTAACTCTCTATTCCTCTCCCTTCCTCTCTGTAGAAAATCAATAAAATATATTTAAAAAAAAAAAAAAAAGAAAGTTCAACTATCTGGGATGTAACAGTCACTGGGTAAATTTGTGGATGAAAGAATAAATAAATTATTGCCTAACTTAAAGGGAAACGTGAAGGCCTAAGAGTAAATCAAACCAATGTACTAAAAAAGAGAGACTCATGGACACAGACAACAGTATGGTGATTGCCAGAAGGAGGGGGGAGGTGGAAGGTAAAGGGGGAATAAATGATGATGGAAGGAGACTTGACTTGGGGTGGTGAACACACAATACAATATACAGATGATGTATTATATAATTGTGTACCTGAAACCTGTATAATTTCATTAACCAATGCCACCCCAATAAATTCAGCAAAAATAAAAAAACAAAAAAATAAAGGACTTTCTAATCATTTCACTCATTGATAACCTAAAAAAAAACTTCTATCTAAAAAGTCCTTAGGTAAGTATATTATTAAAGTATGTTCTCAGTCAGTCTCAAATGGTCATATACTATGTGATTACATTTATTTAACA